TAATGAGCTGGTCATCATTAATGATGGTCAGCTCATTATGCAATAGGAGGGGGACACCTAACATGTCTCCCATGTTGGTCCCATATTTTGGATCCTTGGGGAATTTTTCTTTTTTTTTATTTTTTTGCTACCCACATTCTCATCTTTCTCCCCCCACTTGCATAAGGAATTAAACAGAACTCTTACAAAAAAAAAAAAAAATACATATCCATGAATCTAATTGTGATTGCAAGCAGAAAGCTTACTTTTTTAAGGAAAATTTGTGTGTATCATTAATACAAACCAATAGTGATTGTCTCTCTCCTATAATTTAGGGATCAAGAAGAAGAAAATGTGGCATGTCAACAGGCTGTAGACTTTTCTTGCAGAATCATTTGAAAAAAAAAACCCTTAAAACTATAGACGAAACATGAAAGGATATATCAACACTATTTCATGCCAGCTGCATTCCCTTGGAACATTGGTTCACAAATATTCTTGTCACGGTTCCAATCAGGCCTTAACGATGAAGTTCTCGGATGCTACCGCCATACAATTGTTTTTTTTGGAAGTAAAAACAAGGGTTATACCTTGTTCATTAATAATCAAAATTATCAAAAGATATTTCAGTACAAAACAAGAACACTAACAGTGTCCATATGTTAGAATATAGAAAATAAAATTTCTACTAGAAGAGATGTATAACCTCCTTCTTTCAAAGATCTATGAAGATGAAGAGAAGGCCTTGCCGTCATTCATCATTGACACAGATTTAGAGAAGAACCAAAGCCAGCCATACATATACATAGTAGAAATTAAAATTTCTATAATTAGAGAAGAACCAAAGCCAGCCATACATATACATAGTAGAAATTAAAATTTCTATAAACAACCAAAAAGATAAAGTTAAATTGATAATATAGAAATTAAAATTTCTATAAACAACCAAAAAGATAAAGTTAAATTGATAATATATACAGAACTGTATGAAAACAAAACAACAAGAGAAAAGCTCTTCAATTGTCTTCAAACACTTGCTCTTGATATAGTATCCAGCATGGTTGATAGATGTCTTGCTGCAACACCCCTTCCAGTCCCTGACCATTCATACAACCCATAAATACAGCATGGTTGATAGATGTCTTGCTGCAACACCCCTTCCAGTCCCTGACCATTCATACAACCCATAAATAGTTTGATTGGTAATCTGTTTATAAGACAACACCCCTTCCAGTCCCTGACCATTCATACAACCCATAAATAGTTTGATTGGTAATCTGTTTATAAGATAAGCTCAATTTTTTGAACAAAGCTTTGTTCCTACTGATCCATATATTCCAGCAGACATGCGAGAAAATTGCACGCCATATATAACATTGACGTCCCCTTAAATTTTCTATAATTTGAAATCTTCAAAAGATGATGGCCATGAAAAAGGAACATAATAATTTATGAAGTGCACCCAAACTTGAGAAGAAATTGAACAAGAAAAAAAAATAAGTGGTCTCTAGTTTCAGGGTCCAAGCCGCAAAAGATACACATGGAATCTCCTTGCCATCCTTTCCTCAAGAGGTTGTCTTTTGTATGAAGCTTATTTGAGCTTAAAAGCTAGATAAAAAAAACTGACTTTGCACGGAATGGCGTTTTTCCAGATTAATTTGAAATGTGGTGAGAGGATGCCTCTGAAAATTAGAAACTGATAAAAAAATTTCACAGAGAAAATACCATTAGTTTTTAAGCAATCATTTTGGGATGTCTGGTTGATCTGAGATTTTGAAATTGTTTAAAAGATGGAAAAGGTTGGCTTTGTCTATTAGAGATATGAGAGATATACATCTTCTCAAAGTAAGGCCCCAATGCCAAGTAGAATTCCTCAATATTCCCTGACTGCATATAGGCACATTAGAAGATAGAGCTAACTGATATAAAGAAGGGCAAAGACTGGATAGAGAGTTATAACCAGTCCACTTATCTTCCCAGAACCTAATATTTTCTCCTGAACCAATAGACCATGAGACATGATGAAGGAACTCATCTTTGAATGACTTTAATGCATCCCAGAAAGATGAATTTCTTTGATATAAAATGGTGGGAAATTAAAATAAGTGGAGAAAAGCCATACTACTGTTGCTGCAAATGATTTTCATTATCAGAGGAAGGTCAAATGTCATTATACTACGATCGTCATCACACGATTTAATTAGCGTAGAAAAATGCCAAAGAGACGTAAACTGTATCGAATTCTCAAACAGAATCGTATAATTATCAAATTTTCCCTTAAGGGGCTGTTCGTTTCGCAAAAAAGAATGGAAAATCAAAAAATAGGAAACCTATTTCCTAAAATAATTGTTTTGAGGTTGTTTGGTTGGTTTAAAAAAGAAGGAAATTATAAAATAGGAGATGAGATGAGATGAGTTGTCACCTTATTATTGGATGATGTGAGTGATTTTTTTTAAAAAAATTGTTTTGAGGTTGTTTGGTTGGTTAAAAAAATAAGGAAATGAATTGGAGGTATATCATTGGATGATGTTTTGAGGTTGTTTGTGTTTGGTTCGTTTTTTAAAATAAGAAAATAGATGAGATGAGATGAGTTGGAGGTATATTATTGGATGATGTGACGCATACTTAAGGAAATCAATTTCTTGTTTTTTTTTTTGAGGAAATAGATGGAAATAAATGTTTAATGAGATGAGATGAGTTGTCACAATATTATTGGATGATGTGTGTGATTTTTAAAAATAAGATAAGATGAGATGTGATGAGTTGGATGATGTGACACATTTCTTATGTTTGGTTTATTTTTAAAGGTAAGAAAGGAGATGAAATGAGATGAGTTGGATGATAAAAATAATATTTTATTGGATGTTATGGGTGAGTTTTAGGGATGGAAATGGATAAAAATATTATTTTATTGATTTCCTTGTACCGATTTACTTTTCTTTGATTTTAGGAAACCAACCAAACGGGCCCTTAGATAGGAGAAAAAAAAAACACCCTCATCCGAAGACTAGTTAATTAATTATCTTCTACAAGTTGAGCAAGTTGGAAAACAAGGCAATGAACGGAAATGTTATTTTGTCCGGGTAATTTGTGGACTGACCTAATTTACCTAGTACGACTTGTTTGAAACCGCCGTCACATCAGTTCATATATAGTTTTCCACCGAAGATAACCTTCGTTTATTATTTGATCAGGATAACATGAATACGACTTAATTAGCTAAATAAATACATGATCTCCGTCACTATTTCATACGCTGCAGAATTGGGTGCCAAGAAAACTGGGTGCACGCTCCTAAAGAGCATTGCTCACCCCAGCTGGATCTAGAATTGGTACAGTTCTCCCGAGTCATTGGATGAACTTGCGGTCAAATTAAATTCCAGTAAAAATAATAGACTAAGGGGAGAAAGAAGGAACAATAAGGAATTAATATATGGTTTTACTATAGAGTGCCCATGAGCACTCTACAAGAGAGGAGAGAGATAGAGAGAAATGTTGGGGATAATATCAGATACACTCTGACACCCGTTCTGTGGAATTTGCCCTACCGAATCTTGTGTCAAGCAATGGAAAAAAGAAATCACAGCAAATCAAAATTACAAGAATAAGAACACCGAGTTTTAACGAGGTTCGGCAACTTGCCTACGTCCTCGGGAGCCACACAAATAATTTCCTTTATATTAAAAGAAGATTACAAAGCTTGTAAAGGAGTAGATCTCAAACTTGAGATCTCTCAAAAGAAGAGCCAAACAGAAATTCTCTGTTGTTCAAATAAAAGGCGCGAGATTTTACAGCAGTAAAATCTCCTCTCTCTCTCTCTCTCTCTCTCTCTCTCTCTCTCTCTCTCTCTCTCTCTCTCTCTCTCTCTCTCTCTCTCTCTCTCTCTCTCTCCTCAATAAATCGCTACAGGAAACATGAGATTTTTCCTCTAAAAAAAAATTCTCCGTTGAAGCTCTGCTTTAGTGGCCGCCGCCAGAATAAATGAGATGAGAAGAAGAGAAAACGGGGGCAACTGCTTCTCGTGCTCAGGTTCCTTTAAATATGGAAAACCTTAGAGCTGAGAGGGAGTGGGATCCAGCTGGATCCAACACAACTCGCAGGCGAAATTTCGCCTTCGCCTCCACGTCCACAGCAGGCGAGAGTCCCTCTTCACACACAGGCGATCTCCACACCTGTTCGAGCTCAAATCCGCCTGCAACCATCTCGCCTGCAAGGGGGAGGGGTCTCGAATCTGCCTTCAGCAGCCGCTCGAGCTCGCCTTCAGCCCGTCGAAATCCGCCTGTTCGAGGACCGCTCGAAAAACTCGCCTGAAGCTCTTCTCGCTCGTCGTTGATAAGGTAAGGGGCTACACTCATTTCCAACAAGAAATAAATTATACAGAGAAATTAATGCAAATCAGAGAACTCATGTGCTATTCATTTCTCTCTATCTCTCTTCTCTCTTGTAGGATGCTGATTAATATATACAAGAGAAAAGTTAGAGAGAAGAACAAAGGGAGAAGAGGGTCATTGTTTGTCCCCACTTCCTCTCACAGGGTTCTCGTAACCTCCGGGTATGCTCACCGCCAATCTGCTCCTCCCAACAACTCCTTGGGAGATGCCAAAGTTCCACTCTTTTTAACTTTTTCTATTACATTTTTTAAAAAAAAAAAATATTTTCTCACGCCTCCTTTTCCCACCATTTCCCCTATAAATTCCACCCTCCTCCCATTCAACAATTCCCTTTTCCTCTTCTCTTCTCCTTCCTTCGTTAGTTTCCTAAAAATTCTGCTGCTCTTCCCTAGCCTTTCTCCCTTGTTCTTCTTGCTGCTACTACTCCTCTTGAATCTAGGAGGAACTCTGCTCTCTTCGTATCCAAAACTAGGAACCATTAGGCCTAATTTCACTCGGACTGGTGCAAAAACCTCTGCTTCCCCAGCTAAATTAGCCGGTCTTGTTGACCAAAAACTGCAGACCCATAACTTGTTCATTTGAATCAGGATCAAAAAGCCTAGATATTTAGATGCGGCATCCATTTCTCTTGGTCTTTCTAATAGATGTGGCCTATCCTAAGTGAAATTCTTCGCTCTGGGTTTATGATACATTCCAGCCTCCGGCGCCGTAGCCACCTCGTTCAATCCTTCTCCGTTGTGTTTCTTTACTGGTTCTACGTTTTCTCATGATATCGGCCTGTCTGAACTCTCACCACCCGTAGCCGGCCTGCTCGTGTTATTCGTCGATCTACTCAATTAAAAAAAAAATCACCCACCCATAATTTTGACTAAAAGCAATAAATTACAAAAAAGCATGTCGAGTGGCACTTCTTCGGGGTCGAGCTTGTCCCCAGGCTTGGGGTCTGACGGGGACCTCAAGGCCCTAATGGATCAGAGGAAGAGGAAGAGAATGCAGTCGAACCGCGAGTCGGCTAGAAGGTCAAGGATGAGGAAGCAGAAGCATTTGGACGATCTGATGACTCAACTGAACCGACTGAGGCAGGAGAAGGAACAAATCCTGACCGCCCTGAGCATAACGACCCAGCAGTATGTTGGGGTCGAGGCGGAGAACTGTGTTCTGAGGACTCAGACGATGGAGCTCAGCACGAGACTCCAGTCCCTGAATGAAATCCTCTACTCCATGAACGCGAACAATACTGGGAACAACTGGGTCAATACTGGGAATAACTGGCTAAATGATAACTTCATCAACCCATGGAATCTTGCAATCACGAACCAACCTGTCCTGGCCTCAATTGATATGTTTCAGTACTGTTAAGAGGTTCATAATGACAACTTCTGCGTTCCAGGGAACAATATTTTAGTCTATATTAGATTTTGAAGTGGATTTCCTATGCGTGTATGGTTTATAATTACTTCCGTATACATTCAGAACCTTTAGAGTGTGACTGTAAATTTACACATTAGTCTGGGAATATAATCATAGTATGTAGACAACTTCTTGGTGTTCAAGCTAATTGCTCTTTCATTTATTATTATGCTATTATTGCTGTCGTTTTGGAAGAATTATCTTTGTTTACGGTACTTAAAGCTAACACTTGTAGCGAGAGGAGGTTTTTTCAATGGATGATGCTGACTTCTTTGAAATCAATCATCAATAAATTAAGCTCAAATGTTAGGTCCCTATGAATGCTTTCCCACGTCAAGGCGAGAGGAACAGGACAAGGAGAGTAGGTCTTTAAACTGATGAGGTGTACGTAGGGGCAAAAAAAAAAATGGAAAACTAAAGTCTCATCGCGTTGCTATTAGTGTTTAATATTGCTTGGTGCCCTCGTTGCCCACGCATCGCTTCTTTTTCTTCAACTCTTTTCTTTCCTTTTGATGTATGTGGCTGGCCACTCAAGCAAGCATTTATTCTAATGGCCAATATATGCTGAGCTGAGAAAGGTTTGTCCCTTCCTTTGCACTTGTGCGTTTATAAGCACTGGTTGGATTGCACGTACAATGCACGTGATAAATTTTTAATTTATTCTTTTATTATTGATTCATTTCATTAAGATTTATTTAATTTAAACCATGTGTCAAACATATGGATAGAATTTAAAAATTCAAAAGGATTGAATAATGAAATTACATTTATGTATCAACTGGGTGATAATAGATTCTTTGCATACTTAACAATAGAAAACAATGAATAATTTTATAAAAGAATTTTATTTGATATACAACATTGAGTTTCAATCAACCAATGCTATCTATATACAGATGACAGTAGATGACCTATTTAATCATAATAATCCAATATAAATGTTACTAAAATAGTAGCATCAATTTTTTGCTTTAGTCCTACTTGTTTCTATCTCCTCAAAACAAATAATAGTCATGCAACAAACAATAGAGATACTATAAATATCTCTCTTTATCATTGGATACTTTGAGCTTTAATGGTTCTAATTTTTTTTTGAGCGGTAAGCTACTTATGCCTATTAGGAGCGTGAGATTTTCTGATTACATGTCTATGAAATTCATCGATACTTATGCCTATTAGGAGCGTGAGATTTTCTGATTACATGTCTATGAAATTCATCGAATCAAAGTAAATTGTAAGATGCTAAAAAACTACGAAGATAGTATAGAGCAAGAATTTTTGAGAAAGCAAAGAACCAAAGATTCATACTCTTAAGATAACACTTCTATCATTGATAAAATCAATTGCAGATGAAACCAAAGGAGAAAAACCTTGATACTATAACTAAAAAGATATTCAGATTTGTTTTTACAGATATGGATCAACTTTAATTGATATTTCTCCTGTAGAGTTCACTCTCAAATTGGGCTCCAATAAGTTTCTTATTAGAATGAAATTTAGATGTCGCATAGATCCACTGAACATGACTTATCATAGGTAAAAAACAATGACATATTGAACTATCGACTCACCAAAGCTTCTTTTGAATCATTTGCTACCCATGTTTTTTTAGTAAGCTGCCTGCATTTACGACTTGTCCTGATGCATGGCGACGAGAAGGGTATGCTAAACAACCACTTGTTCTCCATTCTTTACCACCTAAATTAAAGTTTTCAAGTACGAAGTTTAGTAATTGCTAGTCTGGGAAAGGTATTTTTGGCAGTAGTTAAAAAAAATAAAGATATTATAAACACATTTTATCTATATTAGATCTATGAAAAATGATCATGTTAATGAAACACAATAACTGAGTGGCACAGAAGCACTTGGTCTGAAAATAGATAAAACATGTACTGGAGCAAGCATGAAAAAGGAAATTTTTTAATAAAAAAAATGAAACAGGATGTATTCTACGACATAATTAGATGTAACAAACTTAACAGAAGACTCCCAAATAAACAGTTAGCAAAATCAACTACCAGATTGTCTTTTAACAATACCAAGAGTTGGTGCCTACCCAGGGCTAGGTCCTGCTCCAGAACCCTATATAGAAGATAAAAAATGAGCAATGTGTTGTTATGATAGAGAAAAAGAAATCAAATATATATATATATATATATATATATATATATATATATATATATATATATAGTCATTATTAAGAAAAGTAAGAAAAGATGTCGTCAAGGCTCCCAACTTCATTATGTGAATTAGATCTTACCTCAATAGAGGTGGTAACTTTTCTTTTACTAATTTTTTCATATTTCTGCTTTTTTGTTATTCTAGCAACCAAATGTAGTAAACACAAGCCACCTGAAAATCACTTGATGTTATTAATAAAAAAACTTCTCTACCATTTTCTACCCATCCAACTTACAATATCAACCCAGTTTCTAGGAGCATGCTTCTCTTAGACAAATTTCCTAATAACCCTCCACAATTGGGAAGTGAAATCACAAACAAAACATAGATGATATTTATTTCCAGGATGCAAATTGCAGAAAGGAGACAAATTACAAAATTATTATCTAAAATGCCAAATTGTATTAGTTTTTCTCATGTAGGTTGTAGGTAACTTATTCAAGCAATAACAAGTTAACTATTACATCATGATGATACTAAAAACTTACCTTCACACTTTTAGTCTACTATGAACAAAAAGTTGAAAGGAATTTGAAATGGCAACAAAAAAGGAGGGAGGGAGGGAGGGAGGGAGGGAGGGGGAGCTATGTGCAGTGAAATAATTGATTGCTAGCTATTAAGAACAGTCAACCTTCTATTTTAACATTAATCTCTAATTATAATTACAACCAGGCAATTTAATAGGAAAACATGGTATATTAGTATATGTATAAGATTATAATTATTTATCATACTATATTCAAATTTTCGGGGTTTTACAATTTCAGGTTTAACTCCTACACACATTGCAGTATTTGAGAGCATGGGTTCTCGAGCTAGTGATGTGCCAAGAGCATAAATAATACATCAGTGGCGAGAAAAGAAAGGTAGTATATATCAAATAATCGTGGCTTAAAAATATATTAAAGGATATAGAGAGATAAAGCACCCTAGAGTGGAATAGCACATGGACTCAAAAGGAGTAGAAATACAAAAATGAAATATCGTCTTAAATAAATTCAATATAGATTCACTTTTGCTTATCATCAGAGAACAAAGGTTATGAAAATGCTCAATTATTACCTTTTTCACTAAAATAGTACCCAATAACAAAAAGGTCAACTGATTTAATTACAGAAGTTTATGTAGCAATCAATATTAGATCATAGGCATAAAACTCTGTTTCATCCAAAAATTCGGCTCAACATTGCTGCTAAACGAACTCCAGCTTCAGCTAAGCTCAAGCTCACCACAGACATTCTACTTTCAAAATACTCATCTGTAATAAAAATTTGATTTAATTTACATATAGAAATAGAGAATTATATTATTAGTTAAGATTATTGTTCTGGGTTTTTACGCCCCATGTTTATGTTATGTAACATTTTTTGGTGTTTTTACTCCTGCCACTTATTATATGGTTTCCACATAAAAAAATGAAAGATGGTTTTTATTGATTTGACCTATTTTAAAAATGGTTTTCATGGGAAAAACCGTAATACTAAGTCCATATTTTACCACAAAGTGTTTTCCCTTTAAAAGGAAAGTGTCTACAAAGAGCACATCCTTAATAAGTATATACTACCTAAAATACATTTGTACAGTTCTATTTCAATATCATAGAAAACATCTACATGAGAAGAAAGCATTATTAGCACATAAATTTTTTTGAGACTATAAGATTAATGGTAATTGAAAAACACTCAAAGCAATAATTTAGTATATGTTGGAATTATAATTCTGTACTAATTACTAAAGCGATGAAAACATGTCTTTATTCAAAATATAATCAGAGTCATTAAGCAAAAATTGGATTACACAGCCATTAGCTATCCAATGAATAAAGAAATAATAAATAATCATGTAGGAATTCAAGCTAACTTTTTGCATTAATCAAGTTGATTTATCCAGATTTTTAAGTGGAGTAGCAAGAGCTCTTTGGTTAATTGGATGGCCCCTCATATACACTATAAGGGGTCTTAGAAGTGTTCTTTGCCTACCTTCACATACTGAAAGTAGAATAATCCATATTATACTTTTGAAAACAAAAACTAACAACAAATATGAATGCGAAAGAGTGAAATGTGTGTTGTTAATAGTAAAGTTGAGGAAAAAAGGATCAGGAATATTAAGCAAAAATAGTTTAAAAACAAACCATAAATAGCCAATATATATATAACTCATTTTCTTTATGTGGATAGAATTTCACAACGTTCTTCTTTGTCCGGTGGTGGCAGCGTACAACACCTAAGACATAATGAATATCATCATAGGTTATTTGCTGAAAATACAAATTATTTGTACAGTCTAGACATCAACAATTTTATAGATTAAGCTTGCTAATGTTTCAATTGATTTAATTGTAGTTAGATCCCTTGTACTATTGCCTAATCGCAAATAAATCTCCTATAGTAAATTTTTGACTCTTTTACCATCTAAATATCTATTTGTCCAAAGAAAAATAAAAAATAAAAAATGCTTGTTTTTGAAGGTAAAAGAGTCAAAAATAGTTTTAGTTAGGAGGTCTACCTGCAGAAAGAAAAAGTCTAAGGACATTCGCCTTTATGGATTGTCTTCGGACACTCACCCTAAAAGTAAAAGGGTGGGGTGTGGTTTAGTTTTATAATAGGCTTAAATTGGGGTTAGGTTGGGTTTTACCACACGTGGCGACCTAATGATGCAAGTGATAGCAACACTCACATTGCGCGAGTATCGTTAGAATTCCTACTACAACAATAGTCTACAATGGGTCTATCCAAAATTTACTGATAATATATGGTGTATATCTGCAAGTAACCCTATCAAATTTGGAAAGAGATCATTGATCTTAGGAAACTAAATGAATGAAGTGCACACTTTATTATGTTGTAAATAGGGGGCATATTCATAAAGAACCGAGAGAGAGAGAGAGAGAGAGAGAGAGAGAGAGAGAGAGAGAGAGAGAGAGAGAGAGAGAGAGAGAGAGAGAGAGAGAGAGAGAGAG